TTTTATTTTTTAAATATGTTTTTATTGATTTCAGAGAGGAAGGAAGAAGAGACAGATAGAAACATCAATGATGAGAGAGAATCATTGATTGGCTGCCTTCTACACAACCCACACCGGGGATCAAGCCCGCAACTCAGGCATGGGCCCTTGACAGGTATTGAACCTGGGACTCTTCAGTCTATAGCCCAATGTTCTATCCACTGAGCCAAACCGGGCAGGGCGCACTTAGTTATTTAAAGTAGAATACTGTAGTATCAAACACTTCAAAAGAAGACAGATGCTTTTACAGTGGTTCTCAACCTTCTAGCCCTTTAAATAGTGCCTCATGTTGTGACCCAACCATAAAATTATTTTCGTTGCTACTTCACCACTGTAATGTTGCTACTGTTGTGAATCATAATGTAAATATCTGATATGTAGGAGGGTCTTAGGCGACTCCTGTGAAAGGGTTGTTTGACTGCCAAAGGAGTCGCGACCCACAGGTTGAGAACCGCTGCTTTAGAACTAAGACAAGAGAAACCCATACGGTCAGGGTGGAATATTTGTCTTCAGCCTCTTGTTATTATGTTAGCATGGACACAGACAAGAGCCGAACTAAGACCTATCCAATAATAATCCGACTTATAAAAAAAACACACAACTATGGTTATCTACCAATTCTCCTGTTGGCCAGAGTCAAACCCTTTGCCTAAATTGCTTTTGTAATGTGCAGAAAAATATGTCGAGAGTAAAGACAAATTGGAACTAAAAACATAACGTTTAGTAATGGTGACACTTCTGTTGTCTGTAGGAGCACTTGTTTGATGTGAGCTTTCTTACCTTTATTTATAGTTAGCAACAAATATATAAAATAAAATTCACATTATATATATATAATTTTATGATGTGGACACTCCAGAAGTAATTCTTTCTTGATTGATGTAAACAAGGCACAAGGTCTCACATTAACTAATTATTGTCTTTTTAAAAAGACGGCCCCTGATTGATTCCTTAGTCTGAATAAAGATACGGACTCTAGTTTTATACTTAACACCTACTATAGGTGCTCTCAAAACATGCATTCCACCAGTGGGAAATTTTAGACAAAAATAGGAAAAGAACTGGGCCCAGCCAACATAACTAATAGTAGCAGCAAAGACAAGAGGATACAGTAAAAAATGCAAACGTAGACTCAGGTTCCCCAGGCGAGTTAATGCCCCAGCTCGTGAGAGAAAACTGACTAGCATCCAATAAGGAAAATCCAAAAATTTCTTAAAATCCAGATGAGCCATTATAACCCAACAGTACTGGATTTTCACCTAATTCAAAGGCTTGCATTGTTTCATTTTTTGAAAAAACATCGTTATTCTTCACCAAGCGCCTAGGATGTGCTAAAGCCTCAGAATCTCATTACTCCTGTAACCCCCACACGACGGGTGGGCACCCAGGCTGGCAATGACACTGGACCACTGCCCTGCGGTACAGCCGTGCCTTGAACCTGGTTCTGTTCACACCATAGACCTCCTTTTAAAAGCACTGGAATTTTCTCTTCTGCTAGGGCTTTCATATTTTTTCTAAAAGAATTCCTCTCACGGCAGTAAACACATGGTTCTAGCTGGTAATTTATCTGGTGGATTGTTATAGGTTTATTGCAGGATTTAAAATCTCACCTTTCGACCAACGATCCAATAAGTTTGCTACCCACTCTGAAGCCCCCCAGAGATCCACATACACAATTCTCCTCCTTCTCAAACAGGACAGATTTAGAAATACATACGGATCATTCCATCCAGAAAAGAGCTAAGTTTACTAGGGCCAGCTCCTTCTATTCCCTCTCCATGTTACTGAACGTTCCTTGAACATCTTCCCGAGTTCACCATCCTAGCCAATTGTTGCACACTTTCTCTACCTGAGCTGGCTAAAGAGTCCAGTGCTTTCTAAACATACTTTATGGGGACACTGAAACATTATTTTTAAAGTCAAACAGAGCCAGGTCATATCTGGGTAAACAGAAGGAAGTCATTAAAGGAGACTGTTCTCAACGCCACGTCCACCTTCCTTCTCATCGCTCCCTCCGTGGCTGCGGTCAGCACTTCCCCTCCCTTTCTCCACCTGCCTGGACTTTTTCCTTCCCTGTCACCAAACGAGAAAGCAGACCCTCGCGATGGAGGTGGCCGGCTGCCACCCTGCTCACAGGGAACTTCGGCCTGGAGGTGACTTTGGCAAAGTCAGGGGAACAAGAGGCCCCTCCATGGCCCCATCGGAGGGGGCCTCCCCTCCAGGACCGGACCCACCAAGAGCCCCAGGATACTGCCTGCCACCTGCAGGGTTTACCTGTGCCCGGGTCCTCCAGGGGCCGGCCAGCTGAGCAGTAGCAACAGTCCAGGATGACATAGTTGAGCACGTTGAAGAAAAGCCCAATAATCCCAGCCAACAGGACCAACAGCGCTTCCTCCGTCTTCTGGGGGTTGATGTACCTCTTGATGGCCTCCACCAGGATGCTGAACATGAGCGCCACGGCGAAGATGGAGTTGCCAAAGGCTCCCACCACGTCGGCCCGCAGGAAGCCGAAGGTGCTCTTCCTATGGTGCGAGATGGTGCTGGCCCGCAGGCTGAACAGGCCAATGACCATGGACAGGAGGTGGGAGAGGACGGCGAAGGCGTCGGAGGCCAAGGACAGGGAGTTGCCGATGTGGGCGACCGCCAGCTCCATCACGAACAGGAGGATGCTCACCACGCACATGAAGACGAGGCGGAAGCTCCTCCCGGAGTATCGGCCCATGGCTCCGGCTGGCGGGCCGTTCCTCTTCCTCTCCTTCCTCTCCCGGGAAGGCTGTGCTCCGAAGGGAGCAGCTACAGATCTTGAGATTACAGACTCCTGGAAAACTCTCCCCTTCAGCCATTCAGCGCTTGTCAGATTTGGAAATCACCCTTTATAGGCTGCCATAAAGCCATAAAGCAGTTTAAAGGGCAATTAAACGGGAGATGTCATGTGAGCTGGGACTGTGGAAGGGGAAGGCTCGGCCTCAGATACGGACTCGGACTGGAGGAATTTGTTTGTTGGTGTGTTTCATCCCAGAAGTCAGGAGTCTCTGTGTCTTCAAATCACACAGTGGCTCACCGGTGGCTTCAGCCCTCGCAGCTTCCACAGTCACCGGGGAGACAAGTCGTTGACAAAGGCCATCAGATCCTGTCCACCTGGTGTGCAAAGTTTTGCTCTCCACTGCCTGGGTCAGGGGACACTGGATTACGGCTACCGTAAGTGAAACCCAAACATGAAGCAAGGGGGAGTTTTCCACTGCCTGGGTGCTGATCAGGAATACACAAGCACCTACTTCCACACGTTCTCCCAAATAAGACCCCCCCAAAATAAAAAATTCCTCATGGTCAGGGAAGATAAAACATCTTTAAACTGGAGGAGCTACAAACATGACCCCAGTCATTTCAGGAAGAAAGCCAAATTATAATGACTTCACAGAGACAAGGAAATCCTTTTGTTTTTAATCTTATCACCTGTCACACTCAAAGGTTTGCTGGGTCCTGAATATGTAAAACAATAGCGGCCTCTGTTGTTTTGAGTAGCCTGCCTACAGTCAATCCTTTAAAAGAAATGAGACTGAAGTAACTACTCCCAGTGTTTCCTGAATTTAAATTCGGTGATAGTTAATTTTATGTGTCAATTTGACTGGGTCACCAGGAGCCCAGACATTTGATTATTGTTCTGAGCGTTTTCTGTGAGGGTGTTTGGATGAGATTAGCATTTGAGTCCGAAGACTGAGTAAAGTAGATTGCCCTCCAGTGTGGGTGGGCCTCAGTTGAAGGCAGGAAGAGACACAGATCCGTCCAGATTCCTCCAGCTGAGTGCCTTCAAGCTGAGATGCAGGGCTTGGATTGAAACATTAGCCCTTCCTAGGTCTCAAGCCAGTGGCCCTCAGACTGAAACCATCCCCTAAACCAGCGGTTCTCAACCTGTGGGTCGCGACCCCTTTGGCGGTCGAACGACCCTTTCACAGGAGTCGCCTAAGACCATCCTGCATATCAGATATTTACATGACGATTCATCACAGTAGCAACATTACAGTTATGAAGTAGCAACGAAAATAATTGTATGGTTGGGTCACAATATGAGGAACTGTATTAAAGGGCCAGAGGTTGAGAACCACTGCCCTAGACTCTCCTGAATTTCCTGTTTGCTGACTCACCCTGCAGATCTCAGGACTCCTCAGCCTCCATAACCAAAATTCTGTATAATCTCTATTTATTCACCATTCTCTTGGTTCTGTTTATCTGGAAAACTCTAATACATTCAATTAGGCCTAAATCCTCACAACTTAGATGTAGCCCTAATAGTTTCCTTGGCATTTCATGCATCACCTCCAATTCATCTCCAGACTTCTAATACAAGCAGGTTGTGTATCAAATCGCACCCAGATCTCATCCATTCATGCAACAAATACTGAGTACCTACATGTCACACACAGTTGTAGGCTCTGGGGAAGGGAGCAATGAGTAAGACAAAAATCCGTGCCTATGAAGCTTACAGTCTAGTGGGGGGAGACAGATAATTAACAAAATAAGTCATAAAATGTACTGAATGTCAGGTGGTAATAAGATGGAGACAAATGAAGCAGAGGATAGAGTGTTGGCGTAGGGGTGGAGTTGTAACTTTAAATAAAGTCATCAGGGAAGAATTTACTGAGACGCTCGAGTGAGCACCTGAAGGAGGTAAGAAACTCACTCATTCAGCAGGTGTTTCTTTTTTTAAAATACATTTTTATGGATTTCAGAGAGGAAGAGGGAGGGAGGGATACACACAGGTTGCTACGCCCAGACTCTCCAGTCAAATGCCTTCTCTTCGCTGTTTTATGGAGTGTTTTCTGCTGCTGATGCCAAGACCCAAAGCCTCTGCACTACAGAAGGCAGTCAGCGGGAGGAAGAATCCAGACGGTCTGCTCAGTCCTTCAACTGATTGAACGAGGCCCACCCATACTAGGGAAGCCTACCTGCTTCACTCCTCTACCAGGTCATCGCCAGGTCTTTGTTAATGATCTGTCTCCCCCTACAACATGCTGTTACTACCCAATTCTAGCAAATACACCTGGCCTATTGGTTTTCTTCTTACTGCAATGAATACTAGGCACACATAATGACTGTGAGTGCCAGCCATGTATCTTCATTAACGGCTGTCATCTGCAAGCAAAACAGTGCCCTTTCCTAAAGGACATTGTTTGGCCGCAGGCTTCTGCATCCTCTTTAAAAGCACCACCACTTCTCAGATGTTTGGAAAGTTTTGATATTTTAGCTGAATCTCAATGTAAAGAAAAAAGTCTCTCTCTTATTACATGTAGATTTGGGGTAAAAGATTCCTTCCCTTCACATAATGACTTACTGTGGAGTTCCTTTAAATAATGAATTCCTTTGAAGCAGCCAACTTCAAGCTTTTCTGCATCTAGTTCTCACCAGAAGCTTCAGGAAATTCCTATAAATAGAGGATATTTTCACCTCTTCGTAGGAATTTCCTTATAGTACATAACTCCAATACTTCAGAAACGAACGAATACATAAAATGAATGAATTCATGGTATTTATTACTGGGGTGGTTTACAGAAAAGTCTTTTTTCCACTGTTACTTGAGACATAAGAACAGTGTTTATCTCATGTGGCCTCTTTTGAAGTTTTATTTTAAAAAATCATAAAACTCTGTATCTGGGAAGATATTAGTATCAATTTTTTAAAAAGTGCAGAGGGTTGGAGATAGGGCCATGGCTTTGTCCTCAGTAACTACGCCCAAACAAGGTGTAGTACTTGGCAGGGTTCTTGCCGCACACGCATCTGGCTCCAGGCTGCAGCTCACAGAGAGGTTTGAAGGGGATGCAAAGGCTTTTGGCTCCCATGGATGGAGCACCAGGTTCCAGATCCTGATCCCTGAAATTAAAACATACAAGAATTCCATTCATTGAAGCTGTGCATGTCTCTTCTTTCTCACAGCCTCACCTCCCACGTCTTATCTGTTCACTGCATTTACCTGGCCGTGGTCTTCTTGATCCAGTCTTCACAGTCAATTTCCCCACAGAATGGGATCTGAACAATCTAATAGGAAAGGAACAATAAACAGTGTGCATCCCTCCTTCCAGGCTGTAAACAGAGCATCAGTTATTTGCAGCCACCCAGCCCATGCTCAGATGGAGTCCCTCCTGCAAACTCTTCCTTGCACGTGGGACTTGGCTAAAACATGTTCCCAGAGGCTTTTCTAAGAACAAAGTGAAAGAGACGAAGAAATGATAAAACCTGAGTGATTCATCAGATGCATGTTCCTGCAGGGTAAGGAAGTTACCTGCTTCTCTCATGTTCATTCAGCAAAATGTATTAGCCTGAGCCCCCAACTTGGTAAAATGTCATTTTGATCATCTGCCTTGAGATAATAAAGAGGTGATAATTTCAAGGCAAATCCTGGAGGGAAGGAATGAGTGGGTAAAGGGAAGATGGAAGGGCTGGTAGTAATAAATATTCAGAAAAAACTGAATAGAGAAATTGTGCAACGCAAACTGAAGCAAAGACCAACCTGGGTATAAAAGCTGAAATCACACCAGGCGACAGCCCTGAAACTTGGAAATCATTAGCAGTTGTGCAATCAAAGCATGAAAAAAATGTATTTGTTTTAAACAAAGTACTGTTTAAAATTCATTACAAAAAACCAAATGGGGGAAATCTTTACTGTCACTATTTAAGCAATGATAAGAATATTAAAACAATTACAAAAAATGCCTTTGGATACTAAATTTGGTTTCTTAGAAATTTTTACTTTAACTCACAACATAGCTGTATTTTTAAATAACTAATAAATTTTACAGCAAATAGTCTTATTTTCTTTTTCTCATGAGAAAACATTACTAAGCCTTGAGAAGGTATTTCTAAAATAATTTTTAAAATTTAAAATGATGTAGCATGTAAGAAATTCAACTTAAGTTATTAAATGTTTTGGACTCATAAATGATAATTTTGTAAAACACCATGCTTTAATTCTCTCTAGCTTCAAAGTAAAGTATAGGTAATAAGACCTAAAATTTCTATTTATTCATATGTCATTAATATGAAAGTACAGTATTCATTTTTATGCTATTTATTCAGTCATTGAAAGGTTCTTAATTTTTATTTTTTATAATTTCTATATCTATGTTTTTTTAAAAGATACAATCTTTTCTTTTTTAAAAAAAATATATTTTACTGATTTTCTACAGAGAGGAAGGGAGAGAGATAGAGAGCCAGAAACATCGATGAGAGAGAAACATCGATCAGCTGCCTCCTGCACATCTCCCACTGGGGATATGCCCGCAACCAAGGTACATGCCCTTGACCGGAATCGAACCCGGGACCCCTCAGTCCGCAGGCCGACGCTCTATCCACTGAGCCAAACCGGTTTCGGCAAAAGATACAATCTTTTGCAACACACAATATCTTCCATTTTGTAGCAGAAAATGTTAGTGACAAAAAATAACAAGACTCTAAAATTATGATGATCAACAGATTAGTAATGTCTGTCAACAGTAAATATATATTACAAATATAAATAACATTTATTAATCATGTAACTAAGACCATCCCCTTGGAAAAGTTACTGAAATCAAGTCCTACACTTTTTTTTTTCATTTATACCAACAGGGAAAGTAGAAAATCAAACTTTCACCTACATTCACATTCCAAAGATCCCTTCTACCTTCTCCCTTCTTAGTAAATACAATTTTATTTACAGTAACTTCAAAGGTTGCTGGCCGGTCAGTCAACATATTTCAGCTGAGCAATATAAGATGAGATGTGGACAGAATTGGCTACTGAATTCAAGAAACGAAATGTGCTTTGGCCTCTGTGCTCCTTGGACATACAACTAAAATATGTATGCTGCTTTAGAACAGATGTGGAATCTAGGATTCCACTAATGTCTGCTGAGACTCATTTCTTTGAGAGCAATGAACTAACTAGTGTTGACTCTATCGATTTATTAACGCTTATGTAATGTCTTCATAGACTGTATTGCCACAGTGACTCCATATTTCTATAATACAAGAAATTCTAAAGTTCAGTAAATAATGGAGAAAAAATAAAATAATCACAAATTGCAGTGAAAGGAGAAACAAAACATACACAGCACCAGTGGCTACCCATTCTCTAGCCTTCTCTCGAAGGACGGAGCTTGAGTCACGTGACAAATTACAGAACCCAGAACGGGGAGGATGAAAGGCAATATTCCAAGCATAAGAGAACGGTGGACATGGAAGAATAATGGATCTGAAGGGCATTTTGAGATGAACTATTTTGCACTCATTTTATAAGTTAGTAAACTGAGCCAGCGAGATTAACATGCTCTCAGACCACGCACTGAGACCTAGTAAGAGGTTTTAATCATAACCAATGAAAACTTTGCCTATCAAGCATGAGAAAAAGCTTTTACATAATCAGTTCACAGTGTTATCCAAAAATGATATACTGTCAAGTTTTAGGAAAACCAGTTGAAAGAGAATATAATGGCCCTGGCTCGTTTGGCTCAGTAGGTAGAGCGTTGAGCCTTCGGAATGAAGGATCCCAGGTTCAATTCCCTTCAAGGGCACATGCCCGGGTTGTGGACTCGATCCCCAGTGGGGGGCGTGCAGGAGGCAGCCAATCAATGATGCTCTCTCATCACTGATGTTTCTATCTCTCTCCCTCTCCCTTCCTCTCTGAAATCAATAAAAATGTATTAAAAAAGAATGCTGAATACTATGTAATCCTTCTGTGTGACTGGCCTTGAAAAGGGGGTTAATATCATGCTTAAGTTCAGTGAGTCTTAAAACACCATTTACTGAAATATATTTATATTCAACTGTTTTCAGAAGTCTCTTACCTTTCCAGAATCCAGCAGCTTCTGGAAGTCCTCCATTGAATTTGCCACCACCATATGAGTCTTAAGGTCTTCAGAAGCCCTACCAAGAAATGATGAGAAAAGAACACATAATTTCTCCTAATAATATGATGTTATTTTTAAACAAGCAGAGATTAATGAAATAACAATAACCTGGAAGTGAGAACTCAATGAGAACCTCGACTCTGTCACTAGCAATGACATTCAGTAAATCTCAGTGAACTCATCATTGTGTAATTGTAAACATGAAATGGATGAAGAATTGCCAAGCACACAACAGGTAATTTTTACTTTTGTTATTGTTGTTAAATCTCTGTTGACCAACATTCTATTCCTGCTATACCACTGGCTACCTGAGAGACTGAGTTGTCTTTTAAAAAAAAATTTTTTTTGGGGGGGAGGGGTATTTTTTAAACCTCTCTGGTATTACTTTTCGAAGTTTTTACAAACCTGAAAAAATACTCAAGTATGTCTAATTACCCATTACAGGATTCTGAGAATCAAACACGAAGGCATGAAAATTTTTAAAAAGGAAAAGCTCATAAATATCCATTATTCAAGCTCTTTTCACCCACTAGGAGGTAATTCTTTTAGAAATGGAAATAAATGTTATTCTCTTCTGCATCTGAAGGCATGCATGCATGACATGAGGAAAGGAAATAAGGCGCCACACATGGACCAATCTTCTAGTGCCTCTGCCTTGAGACCTGCGATTCTAAGGTCAGGGCAGCTCTGAGCATCCCCCACCCCCTATCCCCATAGGCGGTTCTGAGCCTTGGCCACACATCAATCACTGGGGAGCTTTCACTACTGCAGGTGCCAGACCAGCTCTAGACCAATTACGTTAAAATCCCACGGTAGGGGCCCAGGCACCGCTGGCTTCTAAAGCCTCCCGGGGGCTGCTCATATGCACCCGGCAGGTGAGAATCAATGCCTTATTTCCTCAAATCTATGTCATAGAAGCCTTGATCTAAAACGAACCCAAATTGGCCCATGGGCCAGTCACTGCTGCAAACCTAGCAGGGAGCAGGAAGCACCTAGAAAAACGTTCATAATACAAGTCAAAACACAGAGAGAAAGGCGCATTAAGAACCACGGGAAAGAGGACTTCCCGTTGGGACAGAGAATTCCCGGGACTGATCTCAAAGGTCGAGTGGGGTTGGGAGATGAGAGGCATGAGCCGCTCATGCTGAGGAACTGACTTTCTGAAGAGATTGGCGTGGATGTCCTCCAGAAGAGCTCGAAGTTTAGTCTCGGCCTCATTTTCAGCCACCGTCAGCTTCTCTCCAGTATCGCGTCGGACGGCCACAAACTGACAGCTCTTCATATCACGTGGCCCGACTTCCAGTCTAATGGGAACTCCCTAGGAAACAAAAGAGGCGGCTAAGGTGACACAGGCACATCTCCAACTGAACACGGCGGCGGGGAGATGGGGGGGGGCCACAGGTAGGCTTACAGTTCTGAGTTCACAAAACACAGTTTATCCTTGTATTATTATTTATTAACCTTTTGTACACCATAAATGTCCATAACCCATTCCAACAAGGCATAAACCTAAGAAAAAACTGTACCGCCTGAGGTTTATTAAAACAAAATAAAAATAAACTTCCTCAAAAACGAGTTCAAATTTAGCAACTGAGCTGAACACACAGTTTCAGTGAAGAACTCATAACGATGAAACAGAGAAAAGTCATGAGACTTACATTTTATAAAAATGCATGTAAAGATCTAAATCCAACAGGAGAGTTTACCTTGAGCTCCCAGTGGTTGAATTTCCAGCCCGGCGAATAGTTATCTCGCAAATCAGCTCGAGCTCGAATATTCACACTGAGCAGCCGCCTTCGATAATCATTGCATTTTGCAATCAGAGCATCTCTGTCTTCCTCAGAAAGTGCATTTGTGATGCCACAAGGAATGACCACCACCTGGAATCCAGGACAACAGCATATGTTCACACAAAGAAACAGCATACAGACGTGACTCTAAATCTCAACACAAATCAACATGGGGGGTGGGGTGGGTAGGCTTAGAGTTGTGAGATCATGAAACAGTTTATTCTTAATTATCATTTATTAATGATAGCATTATCTGTATTACAATGTAAACCTACTTTTGCTCACCCTATGTAGACTAATTTCATGGCTTTATTGACAATCCTATATAATAAAAGCCTAATATGCTAAGTGTCCGATCGTCCATTCAACCAATCAAAGCATAATATGCTAATGATATGCTAAGGCCACTCAAACTCCTTGCTATGATGTGCACTGACCACCAGGGGGTAGACACTCCAACCGGTAGATTAACTTGCTGTTGGGGGTCCAGCCAATCGGAACTGAGCAAGGTGGGCCGACACACCCTGAAACCCTCCTGCAGTGATTCCCTGGCTGGCCAACTTCCTGCATTCTTCCCCAGCCCTAATTGTGCACCGGTGGGGTCCCTTGGCCTAGCCTGTGCCCTCGCGCAATCTGGAACCCCTCAGGGGATGTTGGAGAGCCAGTTTCAGCCTGACCATGGAACAACCGGCACTATGACACACACTGACCACCAGGGGGCAGACGCTCAATGCAGGAACTGTCCCCTGGTGGTCAGTGCACTCCCACAGGGGAATGCCACTTAGCCAGAAGCCAAGCTCACAGCTAGCAAGCGCAGTGGCAGTGGGGGGAGCCTCTCCTGCCTCGGCGGCGGCAGTTGGACATCCCCCAAGGGTTCCTGGACTGCGAGAGAGCGCAAGCCAGGCTGAGGGAGCCCCCAAACCCAAGTGCACGAATTTTGTGCACAAGGTCTCTAGTGCAGTGGTTCTCAACCTGTGGGTTGCAACCCCTTTGGGGGTCAAATGACCCTTTCACAGGGGTCGCCTAAGACCATCAAAAAACACATATATAATTACATATTGTTTGTCATTAATCACTATGCTTTCATTATGTTCAATTTGTAACAATGAAAATACATCCCGCATATCATATTTACATTATGATTCATAACAGTAGCAAAATTACAGTTATGAAGTAGCAACAAAAATAATTTTATGGTTGGGGGTCACCACAACATGAGGAACTGTATTAAAGGGTCGCGGCACTAGGAAGGTTGAGAACCACTACTCTAGTGAGTAATAAAAAAACGAAACAAAGGCATACACAAACAATAAATTGCTGGTGTGATTTCTAATCTACATAGAATGTCAACCAATTAGCTGCACATGCCTTGTCCGTGCTGAATAAATCATTTCAAAAAAATGATTTCTAAAAGACGTTTTATATAAAAAGAAGCTAAAAATTAACAGTAAAAAACAAGAACACAAATGATACACATAATTATACAACTGAAGTCTAGACTGAATTGTATGTTGTTTCTCTGTTGGCAAAATCTACCCAGCTGATATTCAGAAAACTGCCCTTTCGAGTTTCTGTTAGTAAATATGACCTGTATTTTAAGTGCTAACAGAAATACCTTCTTACCTGAACACAGGCTACACGGGGAGGTAACACTAAGCCCATGTTGTCCCCGTGAACCATGGTCATGACACCAATGGTCCGCGTGGTCAGGCCCCAGGAGTTCTGATAGGCAAACTGCTTCTCTCCTGGCGTCTTTGGGTCTTCAAAAACGATTTCAAACATTTTGGAAAAATTCTGCCCTAGATGATGTGATGTTGCTCCCTGAAATAAAGAGAAATAGGAGCTTTAATTGTAATAACCTATTATGCCTGCAAAAATGACAAAATCACATGCCTTAAAATGACCTGTTTTGTCTTCCTTGATTTATTTATATATAACACATTTTTAAAGTGTAGCTGATACACCAAAGAGAGTAGGTTTAATCAAAAAGTGTGGTAGAAGTGTGCTGCTGTGGGCAGCCCCTTTCGGAGGAAGAACGTTAGTTACGGTTAAATGGGATTCCACGCCTTGGCAATTCAGAACACAGGCCTTGACTTAATGACTGACCTTGGAGACTTAGAAAAGTGGGGCGGACATGCCTGGAATTAGCATGTGGGCTAGGAGCACATGACGCACTGGTTTTCTAAAAGAGCCCACTGCCCCAAGGACAGAGAAGTGCACTGGCTCTGCCCACAGGCTGTGCTCACGTCCCCCGCGAACCAGGGCAGCAGCCGAATCTATTATTTGTGGCTTATCAAGGTTTGTGCCAGGAAGCAGATATATCTGCTCTTGTGCATGACCTTGGAGACTTAGAAAAGTGGGGCGGACATGCCTGGAATTAGCATGTGGGCTAGGAGCACATGACGCACTGGTTTTCTAAAAGAGCCCACTGCCCCGAGGACAGAGAAATGCGCTGGCTCTGCCCACAGGCTGTGCTGACTCACGTCCCCCGCGAACCCAGGGCAGCAGCCATTATTTATTACAGACTATAACCCTGTACTATTTAAAACTAACTGTGGTGGGAAAAGCATGTCAAACAATAAAAACCTTTTTTTGTAGGAAGGTTAAAGCAGCCAGTGTGAAGTTATTAAGGAAGACATTCCAACAAAGCAGTGCGAAAAGAAGTTAAGAGCTTTTAAAAACCTACATAAATTGAGAGTGCAAGAGAAGATTAATGCTTTTGAAAGATACACAGCAACCAGGGTAAAAGCCTCCTGAAGAATAATTAATTTTACCCACAGGTTTATTTCTGCTACATCTGAAGTCCAAAAAGACTTCCATCTGAAAAGCTTTAATAGCATTTTCTAAAAAAAAATTCAACAAGCAGTTTCTTAAAGTCCATGCACACTTGCATTCACTAGTTTTTTCTCTTAACATTGCAATGTTAAATTACAATTACAACAAAATAATTTACACCAAGAAATTCTTTTAATGCTATTTTGGTCAGATCAATTTCAGCTTAGAGTGACATATTGAACGGTCACCTGTAATAGACGTACTGCATTCCTCACAGCTGGAAAAAGCAGCACAGGGGGGACAAAGCAAAGGACACGAACAGAACTGAGCAAGGACGACCACTCTTCCTACCTCTGCTGCTGCTTCCTCAAACGTGGCAAAGGCGCTGTGCCCTTCCTGCCAAAGGAACTCGCGAGTCCGCAGGAACGGCTGCGGATGCTTGAACTCCCAGCGCTGGAAGAGGCAGGACAACAATGTGGTCGTTAGAGAGAACTTTGCCGTTTTCATTAGCAATTTCATGTGTGAGCAATCAGAAGTCATAATGTGATCCAAAGGACTGCAAAAAAGCTTCCATGCTCCCAATCCTTTGAATAGACACGTAAGGAGAGACCAATGAGCAGGCAGGGCAATGGGAGCACAGAGAAGGGTGTGCACCTACCACCACGTTGCACCACTGGTTGAGCCTGATGGGCAGGTCTCGGTGCGACTGCACCCACTTCGCATACGCAGGATACATGACTGAAAGACACAGGGAAACAGGCAGGCTTAGTCACTGGAGGTTTTCTTTCTCCCCGAGGGCTGCTAAGAGCTAAACTGCAACGTAACTAACAGGAAGGAGAAGGTCGTGTTTGTGTAAATGTGTTTCCAACGTCTGTAATGGTCAGTGAATGGTATTATGTATTTCATAAAGCAGGTTAATCAAGAAAGTTATCTAAACCTGATCATATTTTGTGTTCTTAGCAATGAGATTTACATTTAACATTTAATTTGCTTTTCTGCTGTTTTGTTTTTAAAAACACTAAGTGAAGACTTATAGTATATACCACGTTCTATGTTAAGATCTTTGCATTCATTAACCTGTTCAATTTTCACATTCAACCCAGAAAGTTGCTATCACAGCCTCAATACTAAAGACGTGGAAACTGAGGTTAAAGGCGGTAAAGAGCTTGCTAAATCAGCAGTTACAGGGAGAACCAGAATTTAGGGTAAATCTGTATGTTTGATGCATCTAGCTGGAGTATGAAAGCTCTTGCCTTAACTACTAATTTGAGTGAGGCCCTGTGTTATCATGGCCTAGTCAGGAATATCTATAGTTAGTAACACACACACACAAAAAAAACCCTTACCAATCTAGTATGTGAAAATCAGCTGATGTCATAATTTCAATAATGCATCATTACAATATCACACAAGAGCTTCACCAAAATACCAAAGAGCAAATAATCCTGAACTACAGATGGATGCTCACGTTGGAAGACACTAAAAAGCCCAAAGGCTCAAACTCCACTACTAAGTGTACATCTAGGAAAGTCACTTAACCTTTCAGCCTGTTTACCTGCCAAATGGAGGTACAGCAGCTGCCTCATCCTTCCTCACTACATGTTGTAAGAGTAATACAAGATACAAATACAACCATTAGCAACCTATAGAAAGCCTACATGAATGTAAATGTAGTATTAAGTAACAAAATTTATAAATACGACATAAAACATTCATGTTGGCAATTTTATAACTAATTTCAAGAATAAAAATTATCTCAAGAATACAATTTCTTGGAAAGTTCTGAAAAATTATAGCATAAAAACAAAATAATATAACGGTGGTGTGTTTTTTGTTTTAAAATATATTTGTATTGATTTCAGAGAGAAAGGGAGAGGGAGAGAGAAACATGATGAGAGAGAATCATTGATTGGCTGCCTTCTGCATGCCCCTTACTGGGGAATCGAGCCCGTAGCCCAGGCATGCGCCCTTAACCAGAATCAAACTTGGGACCCTTCAGTCCACAGGCCAACGCTCTATCCACTGAGCCAAAAACCAGCTAGGGCCTGTGGTGTATTTAAAAACAACAACAAACCTTTATCCTATTGCTAAAGAGCTCTGTAATGAATACTGTACAGAATAAAATTCTATACAGTATTCTGGTATTCTAGTCAGTTTGCATTCATTCATCTTGGCATATACATTCATTAAGCCAGAAAGTTGCTATCACATTCAACCCAGAAAGTTGCTATCACAGGATTGTCAACAAGGATTATAAATATCACAGAACGAAGCGGAGACCCACTCTACACACTGTCTCTAACACTTCAGTGCGCTTCCTCCTGCACCAAGGCCGCTCCTCACCTGTTTCACTGGTAGGACGAACGGCAATGGGTTCTGCCAACTCTGTTTTGCCAGATCTTGTAACCCAAGCAACCTGGTAAGAGAAGTCATTGTTCATACATTGTACAACAGCACTTAGAGAAGTAGCACAAATGCTGGCATTTCAGTAATTCAGGTTTTGCTGTTACGGTAAGGTCAATGCTGCTATTCACTATGGGAAAAGGTAGATACTGACTATCCTTACAAACATTGAGAGAAAAGCAGAAGCCAGATAATTACTTAATGTAACAAACACAATCAGATATAACTTGCCCTAAAGGCAGAAACATGTCTTAAAAAATGGCTTTTAATTTAAAAAAACTTCTCTAAATCGGCTATTATAACCTGCCTTTTAAATTACTATTCAAGTGTGAACTGAAATACACTTTTGAGTTTATGTGGAAAAAACGGCAAAAATCAATCCAGCCCACCCACCTCTGGGGCAAAGTCGGCCACGTGCGTCTTCTCCGTCTCCAGGGCGCTCTGGGACACGAACATGGGGAAGTAGCAGTTCTCCACGCCCAGCTTCTTGATCTCGGCGTCGAAGAAGTCCTTGATGGACTCCCAGATGGAAAAGGCCCAGGGACGGAGGATGTAGCAGCCACTCACATCGTAGTATTCTATCATTTCTGACTTGGTGATGACCTTTGTTAAAGAAAAATGCAGGTTTTAAGGCCAAAACAGAACCAAAATTACAATACAGGTGCCAGATGCATGATAATCACACTTCCACCTGGAGGTGGCCAGCACTGGTACATCCTCTTCATGTGCATGTAAACAGACTTTCCATCCTCAGAAAAACGGGGACCTATACTCGTCAGAAGACTTGAATTCTAATCTTGCTCCTGCTGCTCCTATCTTTGTGGCTTTGGACTATACCATCACCTCACCATACAAAAATAAAAATAAAAATGACTATCTCATAGGGCTACTTCATGATTCCACACTTATGTGAAGATGCTTTGAAAACTGTGACATGTTAGATGACTATATTATGTATTATTAAAGGCATATACTTTATTATTTTGTGTCTGGACTTCAGAACCAAAATATAAAGTTGCCTTTGAGAAACTTAATACATAAAAATCAAATGAATGCACACTCACCTGAGAATACCAATCTGCAAGATTTTCTTCTTTTTTTGCCTCAAGACCCAACCTGCAGATGTAAACAGTAAAATATAAATTTCTTCATTCAGCAATTGCTTCTAGGTTGAACAGAAAGAAACCTCTAAAGGTCAAAATATTCATTTTTCTTTAGTATAAGTTATTTCTGTATTGATATCTCTTCTATATTCATTCTATTCTAGATAATAATCCTTTTCTTGAAACACAAACAATTACTCAGGAACCGTCTTATGATGCATACAGAAAAATCTACCCATGAGTTGTTTTTATTTATAAAAAGTACATCGTTTTAGAGTTTGTAAACAAGGCTTTCTTGGTTTAAAATCTTAGTGTATTTATACTTGAATTCTCCATTTGTAACATTTCAAAAAATGCCCATCTTAAACCTGCCCCTTCACAAGTAGTCAGAAGGTAAAAGATGGAAATTCTAGTCTTTCTTCCACTATTCTGTGCATCTGATCACGCCGTCAATAGGCAAGAAAAGCAACTGCGGTGTCCTCTTGTCTGAGGGACTGTGTTTGATGTGAGCATGAGGCAGAACTTGAACTTCAGCTAAGCAAATCTAAAACACAGTCTCTCAGGACAGAAGCGGTTAGTAACAGTGCTTCCTCCTACTAAGCCGCTCACGGAACCAAGCACAAGGTTCAAAGGCTAAACAAATCTAAAACAGTCTCTCAGGACAGAAGCGGTTAGTAACAGTGCTTCCTCCTATGAAGCCGCTCATGGAACCAAGCAGAAGGTTCAAATTCTGGATGGGGCTTAGAGACGAGAATCACATTATGCGCACAGATTGGAAAGTACTGGACCACCACCTATCCCATCACTATTGTTTTTGAACAAGCTTAGTTCTACATACAACTAAACCCACTTGAAATCCTCGTGAGTCCCCACAAAAGAATTTCATTCAAAAAATCTGTTTAGAGTGCAAACCGACATGTCTAGTTAGGTACCACACGTGTTAAAAGGGCGAGGACGGAACATGTATATGTTTGCTTTTAGTTACCTACTCAGTGGGCACAGAAAAAGCTACTAACAATGGTTACCAACTCATTATGGTGGTCGGAGGGGCTGGGAAGATGGAAAACAAGCATAGGATGGAGACTTCACTGAACTTTCTCTATTCTGAGACTCCTGAACCAGCAAGCGAATGTGTTGCCCATTTAAGTAAATAAACAGAAAATTAACAAAAGCTACCTGCTGACACTATACCTTTAGCATTCTCTGACTTAGTGTGACAGTCAAACTAACCACAAAAAACTCCTTTTAATGTAAGAGTCGAATGCATTCCAAACACTGCTTCCCAGCAAAGGGAGTTCCCGAGGCGGATACCTGGTCTGCTTCCGGGGGCCCTGCCCTTCGCCGGCTCCGCTGGGTGGCAGCCCACCACCGCCCTGGCCTCTAGAGGGCTCTTTCTTTGAGCCATCATTTTGCTTTTGAGGCTTATTCTGCTTTTCGGATTTATTTTCCTTTTCTTTCTTTTTCTTGTCTTTGTCCTCGGCCCCCGTGGCAGAGACGGGCTTATACTCGACGCCGGTCAGAGACTTGTACTGCGCCTTCCGCTGCAGGAGCTCTTGCACAGCCGCGTCCACGTCCTTCTGT